GCGGTTCATATTGAGGTCATCGAATCAATGGATGCTTCCAGCTGCATCAACGCATTGAGACGATTCTTTGCCATACGAGGACCCGCAAAGCAGCTAAGGTCCGATTGTGGCACAAACTTTGTGGGAGCGAGCAAAGAGCTAGGGCTGAACATGTTGCAACAGGAAGAAAGGGTTCTCAGATATTTTAGTGGGCAGAACTGTTCCTGGGAGTTCAATCCTCCTCATTCTTCTCACAGAGGAGGTTCTTGGGAACGTATGATTGGAGTGGCCCGCAGAATACTGGATTGCATCTTACTAAGAGAGCATGTTCCTTTCTCCCATGAAGTCTTGTGCACACTTATGGCCAAAGTTTCAGCCATCATTAACGCTAGACCTCTCATTCCTGTATCAACCGACCCACAATCTCCATTTATCTTGACTCCAGCAATGTTGCTTACTCAGAAAGGGGCAGTCCCTCTCCACCAGGGGAGTTTAGTGACAGGGACCTTCTTCACAATCAGTGGAGACAAGTACAGGCCCTTGCCAATCAGTTCTGGCTCTGGAGGGTTGGTAGGAACTCCCTTTTCCATCTGAGTCGCAGAAAGTGGAATGAAGTGCGTCGCAACTTGCAAGAAGGCGAAATTGTCTTATTGAAGGATAACCAAGCTGCTCGTAATGTATGGCCAATGGCAGTGGTCACTTCTGCTATTCATAGCCAAGATGGAAAAGTACGAACAGTTAATCTAAGGACCACTGCTCAAGGTACTCCAAAGACATTTTACTACAAGGCCTATTACAGAGGTCATCCTACTTTTACCCTCAACGGGTTAAAGGTTTATGCTAAATTGTAGCAATATGGACAGTGGTGTCATAAACACCAAGCGGGGAGTGTTCTGCCCTTTGAGTATTATCTTGTTAAAGTAATTAGGACCTCTAGCGGTCAATTATAGTATTGAGGCCTGAACCAGGAAGTTATTTTAAGAGTCAAATCGCATGGTGAAGATCGTTCCAGCTGCAATAATCCTTTGTTGCGTTCTGAATTCTCATGAGCAAGAACTGCCTGTAAGTGATTTATATTTTCTATGTTACAGTATTTCTAACATTAGATTTGTGGCAAATTCATATCGATTTAAAATAAAATCTTTGTTTAATTCATGACTGTTTGTTTACCCAGATATGTTTAGTTGTAATTACATTCTGTTATTATTGTACAAACTACAATTCCATCTTAGTGTATCTTTTTTGTTGTTGTTTATTTTCAGTTTCACACCTTTGTTCATGTCTACATGCTCAACAAGAGTCTCTATTAAACGGAGCTAAAAAGCTATATCCTGACTCTCATGTTATTCATGAAGGGAGTTTGGCTGGCTGTCTAATCTTGGTGAAGAACACCAATTGGAGGACAGTACACTCAATAATGTCATAATGTCTCACGAGTTCAGTATGTGCGCTAAACCATCTTAATAAACAAGATGGCGGCGCGTTCACACGCTGCGGCTTCTCTCTCTCCCGACAGAAAGGAGTTTTCGTGTTTTTTGTCTTGTGAGTTGCAGTGTTTTTGTACGTATTCGTCGCGTCTATCTGTCTCTAAGCGCGCATACAGTCGTGAGTTTCTGCTCGATGTCGGCAGAACCACATTTTTAGAGTTAAACTCTGCGCACGCCGAAGAGCTGCGGGATCTCAGCCTGCTCCGGAGGCCCACACCATCACCGACCCCCACTACTGCATCTCGCCCACAGCGGAGGCGCCACAAGCGGCGTGAGAGGAAGCAGAAGAGGGGTAAGTGCGGAGGTATCGTAGCTAGGTTAGCGGCTAACCCACACAAGCCAGCTATCCCCACCATCGTACTGGCTAACGTACGCTCTTTGGACAATAAACTGGACTACATCCGACTACTACGCTCAACTCAGAGGACTGTAAGAGACTGTTGTGTTTTTGTGTTCACGGAAACATGGCTCAACAACAGCGTTCCGGACTGCGCTATTCATCTCGATCAGCTGACATGCTATCGAGCGGACAGAGCTCGCGTCGAGGGAGGTAAGACCCGCGGCGGAGGGCTTTATGTTTACATCAATGACGCGTGGCGCCGCGATGCTGTTGTGGTCTGCAAACACTGCTCACCCGCTTGTAACACTCCAAAGAGAAAGGAAAAATTTTAATCGCATATGACCCCTTTAATTTCAAACCCTCAATGCAATACAGTACAATGATGACTGAGAGATGTACAGATAAACATTCTTCAAAAGCCTGATGATCATATTTGATACTCCCAGTCACAATGGAACATGATTGTTCAAAAAAAAAAAAAAAAGACATCTGGATATTCGAGTAAACCTACGTTGATTCAGTCCAGTACGTGTTTGTCTGTAAGTGTTATTGCTAATATAGATTTCACAACCTGAAGGTGGAGAATTTTACAAATTCACCAAAAGACCTTTTACTGGCTTAAATAAATGCATAAACTATCAGTCGGACAACAGAAGGCATATAGTAAATTGTTAATTATAATCAATAATAATCACCTTAGAAATCTGTCTCTTACGATTCACATGCACAGGAGGGGTTGATACTACTTGTTGGTATTTATTTGGCAGTTTTGTGTTCATAGTGTTCAGTCATAATGTCAATTTTGTATAAATAAATGCTGCACATTTGCTTATGATGCAAAGATCCATTCCTTTATTAACACACACATGATTTGATCACAGTGTATTACATTTCAAACTGGTTATGGTGGTGTAAGTCACTTTGAATTAAAAGCATCTGCTAACTCATAAGTGTTTACATTTAGCAATATACAATTCCAATAAGGAAAGAAAACAATCATTATTCAGTTTTAGGTAGAAAATTTTCCTCATAGTAACCAGCGTTGGTTATATTTCCAGCAGGTTTGTACTGACCAACGACATAAACTGTGTTTCCATCAGTAGCCAGACCTACTCCGAGCTCTGTGGATGATTTCCACACAACCTGAGTGAAATGCCCTGCAAATATATAAAATATATATTTGTATATAAAACTAGATAGAATTAAAGTAAGCCAATAATAAGAGATGTAAATTTATAACATCATTGTAATGTCATATATTCAAATTAAACAATTTATTCCCAAAATTATTATTACCTGTTTTGGGCTGATGTCCTGGTGTGTTAAAGTTGTAATCCTTGATCTCACTGTACCAACTGTCTACAGCCTCCTTCCCTAAAATATACAAAGCAACAAATATTTTCAGTGTGATGCGCTCAGTGCTGTATCCACAATTGTACTTTTATATAAAAAATCACTATGACAGTAATGTGTGCATAAAATCTGTGTACAAACGAATCATGATTCACTAACAACTTTCGTACTAAAATTTTAAATTTACCGGAAAATGTAGGAACAACTAAAACACCACCTACGCAAAATCACATACTCTTGGTGACTTTATAGTCGTGTTAAGAATAAATTATATACATAAATATATTTCATATACAGTGAAAGAGTAAGAAAGGCTGCATTATAGCTCGATCTGAGATGTTTCTATGTATGACAATACAGATATGCGTAATTAGGCTATCTGCTAATGAGAGCTTTGTGATCTGTGTTTGAACCAGTTTTGTAGATGGCACAGTTGGCATTGCTCGAGGATCTCTATTATTATTATTATTATTATTATTATTATTATTATTATTATTAGTTGCCAAAGTATTTGTATTGCAAAGCAAAGAGCCCACTTTTTATCTATATGATACTTCATAGTAAAATAAATAAATGAATAATGTTCTTTACTTATCAAAATATCATTCTGAAAATAAAATTTAAAAAAAATCACATCAAATACACAAATCTCTATCGCACATCAGTTTTTTTTATTGATATAAATTTTTTAATCTTTCCAAAATAACCTTTGTGTAGATACAGTGCTCGGGGATACAGCGCATCTGAAAATCATAAAAAGCATCATAAAATGACGAAAGGCTGTGCGGAAAGCTTTATATGGAGCTGGTTTGGGTATGTTTTATGCAAATGACTAGCCTTGGGCAAACGCCCACTTATTTAGAATACCCCAATTTCTCGCACATTTAGAAGAAGGTTATGAACAAATTAGTATGTGTATAAGAACATGTTGTGAATTAGGTGCGATTTTATTTATTTATTATTATTTTTTGTGCGTACAAGTATTAAAAAAATCCACGCAATTTATTATTTTTTTTTTTTTTTTGTGAATGAAGCCCACTGAGTCTATACCTTGTCACTCTTAATCAATTTGCAGACGCTGTACGTAATTATTAAACAGCAGATTTTACCTGTGGGTGTGTTTTTGTCAGAGTTATAGGAATAAAACACATTCTCCCCATTATCCGTGTCACTGTGGGCCAGTGCTTTGTTGCTCAGCATATGAGCCGCCCACTTGTGAGCAGCACTGCACAGCTCGTCACTGTACGTCAGCTCTGGGGCTTGATGCTGCTTCCTGTACTGGTTATGGGCCTCCAGGAACTCCTGTTTAAAGCTTTCATCTGTGGAGAATCATACGAACACCAGCCCTTTATTCATAGACTAAAACAAGAAAACAAATCAAAGTTGCAAACGTGCCCAAACTTTTCAGTAAATTTACAGAAGGTCAAATCAAGTCACACTTATAGCGCTTTATACGATACAGATTGTATCAGCAGCTTCACAGTGATACAGAAGAAAACAAAGTGTTGCAAAATTCAATTATGAAAGTACACACAATTTCAGCTGTAAAAGTTTTGTTCACTTTTGATTCCCTTTAGTTTAATAACTGTCAATGTTGTGAAGTTCTTTAGATATGAAGCAAACTCAGTTTAATTCTATAAAACAGCTCTAAGGAAGCTAATAGGGTCAATATTCAGCTCAAGTCAGTTCAGTGTTGATTCAGTTTAGTTCACAAATAATGCAAAGTTCACTAAATTATAAAACTAGCCTAGTTCAGCGAAAAGCAGCTCTACAGAAGGCAATAGTGTTATTCGGTTCGGCACTGATTCAATTAAATTTATTCAAAACAGTGTTGATGTTGCAGAGTTCATCAATTATGAATCCAATTAAATTCAGGTATATAAAGCAGCTCTACAAAAGACAATAGTGTCATAGCTCCGTTTCAAGTTCTGTTGTCATCCAATAGTGTCAGTGTAGTCAATCTGATAATTTTACTGAATATTAAGTGTCTTTTAAACACTAAGGTGACTGAATGAAGATCTATCCAGAGTATAGATTTATCCAGTCACTTTACTTTTGTTTTGGCATTAAATCAGCATTTGGAAAACATGCAATATTAAAATTCCTGCTTACAATTAATACAGAAATGCATATTTCACATAAGTACATAAGACCCACCTGCCATTGCTTCCAAAGTAAGCTGTAAAGAACAAAGATCATTATTATTATTATTATTAATATTCACATTATAGCAAACATTTTCATTTTATAATTTAAATGTGGCGCTTCATTTAATTTTACCTTCTCTTTGAGCTGTAAGGATGTTGTTCACCCACTCAGGCTTCAGCTGGTAGTTTAAAGCTCTGCACACAGATGGTGTATATATACTGTTGCCGTTATCTCCTCCTCCGCCTCCACCTCCATAGACTGACATTCCTCAACTCCATCTTTTTCATTTAATCTGAGGGTGAAACTGGTCCCACTAGTTGAGGAGTGAAATTATTGTCCATCAGTTTGATTCCCTGGAAGCGTGTGTGTGTGTGTGTGTGTGTGTGTGTGTGTGTGCTAAAAAAAAATAGAAAATTTAATATATTTTTAAAAGTATTTTTCATCAGTCTCTAAACTAAAGATTAGCTTCTTTTCACAGTTATTTAGAGTTACATTTACAGTATGCATTTGGCAGACACTTTTGTTTAATGTTCAAGGTAAACATTTTATTTATGAATTTAACCTATAACTTTAGCATTACTAGTGCCATGCTCTAATGTTTGAGCTACATTAATAATTATTTTATTAGTAGTTAATGCCCCAATGTTTCTCATCTGTAATATTTTCAGTTATAATTCTCTTTCTCATTAGCACAATAAATGTTGTACTATTTCACTTGATAAAAAGTTTTTATCATGATCAGGATAAGTTTCGATTTTAATTTTTATAATGTTTTGATTTTGCATGGTGTGCTTAATTTTCATGAAATTAATAATAATGCAAAAAGAAACCCTAATGGTCCTAAAGTTATTTAGTTTTCTTTCATTAAGCATAATAATTTAAGTATACTTTTCTTTGTTTTTGAGGTGAAATTACAGAAAGGTTCAGCTGTTTAGCTTTAGTGTAATAGGTAAATGCTGTCTCACTAGTTTTTGGATCAATTCTATTTGTTCAATTATTCTTATAGATAGATTGTTCTGTATCGTGTAACAAAATATCCCCTGTTCATTTCAGTAAGACTCAGATTTGAATGTTAGACATTGGGTGTTTTAGTATTTGGGTTTTAAGCTCATAGGTTTTAAAATCACATTCCTCTGCAGTTAATTGCCTGTTAAAATAATAGCTAAAAGGCATTCTAGTCTTGCAAGTGACTTTACAAGTTGCTCCCATTAACTAGTAAAACAGGCAAGAGCTGAAAAGACACAAACTCATTAGGTGGCAGATATATAATTTCTGTCTGGGACCTGCGAGGAAAGTACTTTTAACTTTACATTTTTACATCGACTTTAAACTCGACATTCAAGTCCCCAGAAGGATTAAATAAAAGGAAATATGTAATATGAAACAAACGCATAGAACAGACACAATCAACTTCCTTCCATGGAACACTGAATGAAATGTAGGCAAACAGACACACTGGTTTGCAGAGACATGGGTGAACTCTTTTTGTGTGAGCTGTTTCTAATCCGTATAAAATCATGACCTGCATGAGTGTCTTTGAACTTAAATTGTCAGTCAGGCACACACAGATGTCAACACTTTGAGTGCAAAACTCAACAATAGTGATAACTATAATATTTATGTAACATTTATTTATTTAGCAAATGCTGCTATACAAATGAGGAGCATCACCAACAATTTGTCATTAAGCCAACGATATTCATAGCACACAATGGTATTAAATAATTTAGATTAGTAAACGAGCTAGCACATTAGTCCCACACATCCACACAGGACTCCAGTCCATCAGTATCCTGTGAAGCAAAAAGCTGTGTGTTTGTAATAAACACTCCATCATTAATACGTTTAAACTTTAAACCATCGCTTCTGGCCAAAATATGAGTCCATAAATAATCCATAATAACACTTCCTTCAGTGAAGTCCATCCCCTGTTGTTCTCTCACATCAAAATGCACCCACATATTTGTTTAGATCTGTTTTTGCTTGTAAAAACTTTTTGATTTATGCATACTTCTCTCCTGATTCAGACAATATTATTTTTTCACTGGGGAAAGCAATATTATGGATAGAGGACTTGTTTGAAGTCCACATCTTAACTATGGATATTTTTTTTTACAAATATGCAGCTTTTCGCTTCACAATACATTAATTGATGGATTGAAGTCATGATGTGGATTGCTTGTGGATTATTCAACCCGATCTCATGAAAGTGCGTATAAATACTTACGCCAAATAAAAACGAAAACTCGTGGTATTGATACGCAAAAATGGACTTTGGTGTGTATATGCTACGCGATGGGTAGGTTTAGGGTTGTGGGGTATGTGTATCATATGTACATGAAACCTGTGGATCATATGCACGACAACAATTTTCTTATCATATGCACGTGAAAACTGCGTATTATATGCATGCCAAACACATGCGTATCATATGCACGCCAAAGTCCATTTTTGCGTATCAATACCACAAGTTTTCGTTTTTATTTGGTGTACTGTTTATATGCATTTTCATGAGACTGGGCTCGGATTATTGTGATGTTTTTATCAGCTGTTTGGACTCTCATTCTGACGGCACCCATTCACTGCAGAAGATCCATTGGTGAGCAAGTGATGTAATGCTACATTTCTCCAAATCTGTTTCCATGAAGAAACAAACTCATCTACAACTTGGATGGCCTTAGGGTGAGTAATTTTTATTTTTGAGCAAACTATTCCTTTAATAATTAGAGAATGTAAACAATTCAAGATTAATGTTTTTGTGTGAGTATTTGTTCCTAACATGCAATGAAAGAAACCCCATTCCATGCAAATTATTGCCTCAAATACTCAGTAACCTGTTTTGGTGTGTACTCTGGCCTGATACACTGGAAAACAGATGGCTTTGTGTGATAAAGAACACTGTAACTTTGTTTTTTGAAACAACTGACATCCTAAACAATGACCAGAATGCTCTCTGATTACAGCGCAGGAGCTCGAGGTAAGGCGTGTTATTTGAGAACTGTCAAATAACATAGTGTCTTTTTATCTGATGGTGGAACGGAAGCCCCCATAGTCAAAAACAAGCTAAACAAACCATTTTACTGATGCGATGTGCAACGTGTTGGTGGCGTGTTCTTGTAAATTCTCACCCTTTACAGTTTTGTTTGATGACCACTGGTGTCAATTTACCATTTACCAAGTTAAGAGTGTTTTACCATTCCTTCAGGGTCAGAGTGCATTACATTACTGCCTGATCAAAAAGGGCTCCCTGTAACACGTTTTTTGTCATAATCACCTCCTTCTGTGCTGGGCCGTTTCTAGCCAATTTGACGCCCTAGGCGAAATCCCTATTGCCCTTTATACATATACATATATATATATATAATTCTTTTCAGACACCTAGGCGACCGCCTAGCTTGCCTATGCCTAGAAACGGCCCTGCTTCTGTGTTCAGAGTTAGATCTGAGTACATAAATTTGTGGAAACTGTAAGAGACATACGTTTGCAATGAAGGAATTGTTGACCCAAAAATAATAATAATGATAAAAAAAAAGCTAAAAATGTACTCGCCCTCAGGTCAATCAGTTTTTCTTCATCAGAACAGATTTAGAGAAATGTAGCATTGCATCACTTGCTCACCAGTGGATCCTCTGCA